TTATTTATAATTTTTTTTTTTTTTTTTTATCATCTCGCGGGCCGGATTAAACCCGTTTGCGGGCCTGATCCGGCCCGCGGGCCGGACGTTTGACACCCCTGGTGTAAAGCTTCAAGTTCCTCTGTGTACACATCACAGACGATCTGAAATGGTCCACCCACACAGACAGTGTGGTGAAGAAGGCGCAACAGAACCTCTTCAACCTCAGGAGGCTGAAGAAATTTGGCTTGGCACCTAAAACCCTCACAAACTTTTACAGATGCACAATTGAGAGCATCCTGTCGGGCTGTATCACCGCCTGGTACGGCAACTTCACAGCCCGCAACCGCAGGGCTCTCAAGAGGGTGGTGCAGTCTGCCCAACGCATCACCGGGGGCTAACTACCTACCCTCCAGGACACCTACAGCACCCAATGTCACAGGAAGGCCAAAAAGATAATCAAGATTTCAGGAGGTCAGTGTGATGCGGTAGGATGAAGTCAGGCGCAGGACACAGAGCTAATCGAAAACGTACTTTACTCGTAGGTAACGTAAATACATAACCTCCACGCAGGGAGGAAACAAACCCGCTCACCAGACGACAACCAAACATGAACAAACACGCACAAAATACAGTGGGAGCCAGAGGGTTAAATAGGGAAGTAATCAATACATAATGGGAACCAGGTGTGAACAATAAAGACAAGACAAGTAGAACACAGAAACATAGATCGGTAGCAGCTAGTACTCCAGCGACGACGAACGCCGAAGCCTGTCCGAGCAAGGAGGAGGAGCAGCCTCGGCTGAATCCGTGACACAAGGACAACAACCACCCGAGCCATGGCATGTTCACCCCGCTATCATCCAGAAGGCGAGGTCAGTACAGGTGCATCAAAGCTGGGACAGAGAGACTGAAAAACAGCTTCTATCTCAAGGTCATCAGACTGTTAAATAGCCATCACTAGGTTGCTTCCACCCTGCACCTTAGAGGCAGCTCAAATAAGCAAAGAGAAACAACAGCCCATCATTACTTTAAGACATGAAGGTCAGTCAATACAGAACATTTCAAGAACTTTGAAAGTTTCATCGTGCATACGCAAAAACCATCAAGCGCTACGATGAAACTGGCTCTCATGAGGACAGCCACAGGAATGGAAGACCCAGATTTACCTCTGCTGCAGAGGATAAGTTCATTAGATTTACCAGCCTCAGAAATTGCAGCCCAAATAAATGCTTCACAGAGTTCAAGTAACAGACACATCTCAACATCAACTGTTCAGAGGAGACTGTGTGAATCAGGCCTTCATGGTCGAATTGCTGCAAAGAAACCACTACTAAAGAACACCAATAATAAGAAGAGACTTGCTTGGGCCAAGAAACATGAGCAATGGACATTAGACCGGTGGAAATGTGTTATTTGGTCTGGAGTCTAAATTGGAGATTTCTGGTTCCAACCGCCGTGGCTTTGTGAGACGCGTGTGGGTGAATGGACGATCTCCGCATGTGTATTTCCCACCGTAAAGCATGTAGAAGGAGGTGTTATGGTGTGGGGGTGCTTTGCTGGTGACACTGTCTGTGATTTATTTAGAATTCAAGGCACACTTAAGCAGCATGGCTACCACAGCATTCTGCAGTGATACGCCATCCCATCTGGTTTGGGTTTAGTGGGACTATCATTTGTTTTTCAACAGGACAATGACCCAACACACCTCCAGGCTGTGTAAGGGCTAGTTTACCAAGAAGGAGAGTGATGGAGTGCTGCATCAGATGACCTGGCCTCCACAATCCCCCAACCTTAACCCAATTGAGATGGTTTGGGATGAGTCGGACCGCAGAGTGAAGGAAAAGCAGCCAACAAGTGCTCATCATATGTGGGAACTCCTTCAAGACTGTTGGAAAAGCATTCCAGGTGAAGCTGGTTGAGAGAATGACAAGAGTGTGCAAAGCTGTCATCAAGGGAAATGTTGGCTATTTTTTAAGAATCTCAAATATTTTTTATTTGTTTAACACTTTTTTGGTTACTACATGATTCCATATGTGTTATTTCATAGTTCTGATGTCTTCACTATTATTCTACAACGTAGAAAATAGTAATAATAAAGAAAAATGAGTAGGTGTGTCAACTTTTGACTGGTACTGTATATACCAAATCAAATCAAATTTGATATGCCACACGCGCCGAATACAACAGGTGTAGACATTACAGAGAAATGCTTATTTACAAGCCCTTAACCAACAATGCAGTTAAAAAATAAAATAGACATTTTTTTAAGTGTTGAGTAAAAAATAGATAAGTTAAAAATAAAAGCAAATAACTAAAGAGCAGCAGTAAAATAAAATAACAGTAGGGAGTCTATATACAGTGGGGTACCGGTACGGGGGCACATTATACTGTATTTTAGTCTATGCCACTCCGACATTGCTCGTCCTAATATTTATATATTTCTTAATTCCATTATTTTACTTTTAGATGTGTGTATTGTGTGTATTGTTGTGAATTGTTAGATACTACTGCACTGTTGGAGCTAGAAACACAAGCATTTCACTACACCCGCAATAACATCTGCTAAATATGTGTATGTGACCAATACAATTTGATTTGAAGTGTAGAGAGGAGAGGTAGATGTGTCAAAAGCTGCAGGTCTACTGGGAACCTTTAGTAATATCCTACAAACCTCAAGATGAGCAGAACAATGTTTCTAGAATGTAGACAAAGCTCACTAAGCCACGACTATGAATTGCTATTTAGGAAAAACCTATGTATTAAGAATGTTAGGCAGGTACAAATAAAGAAAACACATACATTTTTGTTTACTCCAGTCTATTCTAAAACATTGTTGCGACACCTAATAGAGAGTGATACAGTAGGTATGACATCCTTACTAATGATGTTGGAATGTCACACATGTACCTACAGCGTATGCAAACCACATCATCCTGGCCAAATGCAATAATAATCTGTACTATACAACATGTTCTTTCCTCAGGCCAAATAATATGGCCTATGGCCTGAGGAAAGAACACGCTGTAAAGTACAGACTAAAGCCACACCCATGTTTCTTATTTGTTTTGTTCACATTAATTTATGATTGTGCCCTGCTCCTTCGGCACAATCAATAATTTTATATGTTTTTTATCAGTCATGTGACGACTTTAAAGGGCTGTCATGCTGGTTACTAGGGGTGTTAAACTGAGAACAATAGCAACCAGTTTTGTATAGGTAGTGTGATCCTGATAAAGAAAAAGTAATTACCAAGCCAACTGAATGCATCAGTTAGCAGTTGTACTGGCACAAGGAACAAATTAATTAATTTACATTTAATTTTAGTCATTAGCAGACGCTCTTATCCAGAGGACTACATATTAGTTTTTTTTTATACTGGCCCCCTGTGGGAATCGAACCACAAACCTGCGTTGCAAAACACCATGCTCTATAACTGAGTACAATCCTGCCGGCCATCCCTCCCCTACCCTGGACGGCCCAATGTGCGCCGCCCATGAGTCTCCCGGTCGCGGCGGCCAACAGGAGCACTTGGCATTTATTTTACTTGGCACTTTGGCATTTTAATTGAGTCCTACCAGATAAACAGGCAAATAAAACTTTAATGGCAGTGGTTACTTGTTGTAGACTTCATGGCATCGGAACGACCATATTTGGTTGGCTGATTAGGGAAACTCAGATTACTCATTACATGGAGTTTATGGTTTAGGCTCAGAGGGATGTGGATTATGTAAGAATGATGATAAGGTATTCATTTACTGACCTTCCCCAACTACTCACTGTAAACAGAAGAACAGATAGAAAGTGAGAATAGGTTGACACATGCACACAGTTGACACTTAAGAGAAATAGAAACAAAAACCCTTCCGCCCCATTGTGAGAAAGGAAATGTATCATCCTGGTGCACCTGCCTGGATATGGATGTTAAATTATAGGTAACAAAAAAATAATCTGCATTTAGCTGAATACTGTTTTGCGAAACTGGCGCAAGAGACCCGATACCAATGTGAATAAGTCGCTGGACAAAGCAGGCTCAGCAGCCGCTCATTCAGCCTAATTATTTGCACCTGAATGGGGCTTCACAGAGGTTAAACGCTTTATTAGCGCGTGTTTACGGGAGCATTTGAAGGGGTAAAGATTCAGATGAAGGCCTACCTGGCGCCTGGTGGCTGCGCGTTTTGAAAAGCCTGCTGCGTTGGGTAACTGGGTTTATCACAGGCTGATGATGATAGGCAAATGACCTGAGAGGACGGACGAGTTGGTCAGGTGATGGAGAGCAAACTGATCTGCCAAATTAAAGGTATTATATATAGGCCTATGAGAAAAACGAATATGGGATTATACTTTTTATATATGTGTATTTGTGATATACTTTAAATGTGACTTTATGGGAAAAAATGCAGTGTAATCATATTACAATGTTTAGTCTATTATCGATAGCCCAACACATTACCAAGTCTCCATATAGCCTATCCTGTAGGATATTCTATCCAAATGGGTAACTTTGAAAATGTATGCATAAAGCACTATTCTATTTTATCCAAATGGATAACTTTGTCTCTAGTCTTTTGGTTACCTTACCCTATTAATGACACATACATTCACATTCCTTCACACTTCACATACGCTGCTGCTACTCTGATTATTACCTATGCATTGTCACTTTACCCCTACCTACATGTACATATTACCTAAATTACCTCGACTAACCGGTACCCCTGCACATTGACTGTACCAGTACCCTTTTGTATATAGCCCCTTATTGTTATTTTATTGTGTTCCTATTTTTACTTGAGTTTATATAGCATTTATTTTGTACTTTTTTCAAACTCTTGTTGGCATTGTTGGTTAAGGGCTCGTAAGTAAGCATTTCACCTGTTGTATTCCGCGCATAACATGTAATTTAATTTGACATAATGTGTTAATTGCTTACTTGGTTATTTTCCGCAAGGGGCGGTCTTTGCCTAGCGCGTCATTACGTGTTATACTTGTTAAACTCGTTTCTATGCAGGAAGGGGCGTGTGTAGAGGTGGCTTTAAAGCTCGCACGAGCGCAAGAGGGAAAGCAAAGAGACTGCAAGGCTCACTTGGCTCACTGGCTTTATATAGGTGCGTGTTTCCTCCGCTTCGTACAATAGTTCCAGCTTTTCAGCTACAATATTTATAAGGTATATAGGAACTCCTACCAATCAAACTTGCACATGACACTGAAACACTATTTCAAGTGAGGAGATATAGTGATTTACTACAACAACTAGTTTCTCGTGTGGACTCTACATCGCTTTTGCTGATATTCATAGACAGAAAGAACGTTTTTTATTCAAGAAAAAAACAAATTTATTTTGCCATTACAACGTATGGAAATGGCCTTAACCGGGACCATTTTACCATCCATCGCTACATTTGCGAACCAAAAGGAAAAATGCTGGGAAAATGTAAGTATATTGGTTTATGTATTTAGATATGTTTTTTGGTTGTTTTACCTGTAGTTGGTAGATTAATGTAGTATAGATGTAGTATAGTAAGAATAAAGCAATGGCATTTCAGTCCAGATGTAGAGTGAACCCATATTTTAAACAGTTAGGCTTCTAACTTGTTATTTAAACAGTTACATATTGTTTTTACAGTTTATTTTTTTATGTAACAAATATTCATGTTCCATTTGATTGTACAGAGCTTTGTTTTGTTTTTTTACATGATCTTTTCACTAATGGCATCTTGTACTATTGCAGAGGTGGAAGGGCGAGATGGACAGGTCTGTGCATTCCAGCTGTGCGGTGGCTGAGGGCATGGACATCTGCATGGGCATAAAAGACGAAGAGGATCTAGATAAGTTCCTGGATCTGGAGTTTATTCTCTCTAACTCCACTGGCACAGACAGCAACACTCCATCATCCGGGACGGGGGGAGAGTACAGGCTAGCAGAGCAGAACAACATGTATCTCTCCGGGATGCAGTCTACCTACACCGTGCCCGAGATGAACATTCCACCTCCGCCTTACAACAGCCTGATGGCTGAGCTCCTGCGCAATGAGCTTGACAGCAGCTTCTGCCACCAGCTCTCTGGCAACAGCATCCATGGGAGATTTCTAGTCAGTTCCTCTGCTTTCCCAAATCAGGACTTTCCAGACAACATTAAGGTCGAGCAATCCATGGACAGTTACCGACCAGTTATGGAAATGGTCCCTCAGAGCTGCCCAAAAATCAAGCAGGAGGGGAACGTTTCGTGCATGATGTCCTTCGAGCAGCCGAGACTAGCCAACTCTCCGCAGGCTGCGGGGAACATGACACCGCCTCTCAGCCCAGACGACCTGATGAGTTCCGAGTGTCAGACCCAGATGTGCCACTCCATGACTTTCCCCCAGAGCTACCGCTCCGCAGCGGGCTACCCTCACTCTCACCCGCCCCCACAGATGCAGCTCCCGTACCAGAGCGCACACCAGTTCGGGATGTACGAAGACGGAATGGGTATGCAGCCCACCAACCAGAGAGCGCTGCTCACTCCACCGTCCTCTCCGTTGGAGATGATGGACTCAAAGCCAAAGAGGGGTCGGCGCTCCTGGCCAAGGAAGCGCACAGCGAGTCACACTTGCACTTTCGCTGGATGCGCGAAAACCTACACCAAAAGCTCGCATTTGAAAGCGCACCACAGAACGCACACAGGTAAGGAACATTCCTCAATGTCTGTATGCTTATTGCAACCTATAAATATTTGGCTATATGTTGCAAATAACTGCATTTTCTGTCAGTATACACATGGTATTTTCCCCTTTGTTGTTCAACAGGAGAGAAACCATACCATTGCAGTTGGGAGGGTTGTGGCTGGAAGTTCGCCCGTTCCGACGAGTTGACGCGCCATTTCCGTAAGCACACTGGCCACAGGCCATTCCAGTGCCACCTGTGCGAGCGCGCCTTCTCCAGGTCCGACCACCTCGCGCTGCACATGAAGCGACACATGTGAGAAATCACATACGATTGAGGACTTTGCCAAAGATTTCTCCAAAATATGTATTTTGTATTTTTGTTTGTTTATTTAACGTTTTTGGGGAATAGGAAAACAGCATAAGAAAAGAAAACATGGTCAGACGAATTCTATATACAAATACTATTTTAAAAATATGTAGCTGGTACTACTTTGTTATTTTTTATCGAATAATATTTTGTAAAAGGCTTTAAAAGTGCATTACACGGAGTTGGCATTTGTAAATTCAAGTCAACATATCAGGTTGGCTCTAAGTACACCTCTGACACAACTGGAATCTAACAATAACATTGTTTAACATGATGTGTTTTGATATTCAAGATAGTGCCTTCTATTATATGCATCCTACAAGTGCCATATTTTCTACTGGCAAAAACGCAAAGTTTATGTATGTGTTATAACTGTAAACAGCACATTAAATAAGCTTTAAGACAATGTTTTGATCTAAAACTGCCTTTCAGTCTTCAAAGGCTTGAATTGAATGTTCTGTGTGTGCATTTACCTGTTGAATAACATTTAATGTCAGGGTCTTTAAAACTATGGAAATAAGAGTGTCCATCTCAACATGACAAAGGGCTAAAAGTCTTGTGACTTAAGACTGTTCTGTTTGGTTTTCTGAGTAAATGTATTATTGCCATGTAAATATATTGTTATATAATGTAAATAGTTTATTTTAATGTACATATTAAACTAATTGAACAACATTATTTTAGACTTTGAGTAAAATCCTTGTGGCTTTGGAAAATGGAGCAGCCCTGACATCTGTGTATCATCATCACACCATACTGTAACATTACACCAGTCATAAACTCCTCAACAATATTTCCATATCTTTACATCAACCATGAGCCAGCTATCATACAGCGCCAGTTCAGGCCTGAGCAGTTTATAATATGATTTCTGAGTGCAGTGTTTTCCAGCTGTCACAGGGCCACTGCCAGAGTCTTGCGGCTCATGCAGCCTATAAATACAAACATTACATTTACATAATTACAGAGATTCAATATAGATGTTCCCTCTCTGGGTCTGGGCACAGGGGCACACCACACTGAAAGAGAGAGGAACCCTGGTTGCTGCCTCAATGAGAAGACCCAATGGGACAGGATGGAAAGTTCAGGGGGGATGAGAAGAGAGAGCGACACAAAGGTTATACATCTGTTAGCCTGGATTTGAGTCTCACACCAAATGTATTCTATAAAATCAAAGCTTTCACTTCAAGTAGTCCCCTGGGTTAGGCTCTATTGTCTTGTTATTTCAATGTTGATAAAGCATGAAGCAGTACTAAGCAGCTATCACTTAAACATGGTTGCATATTCTTAAAAGTGCATTTTTAGGTTTGGTATGCTACCCAACAACAAAGCCCCTCCACTGTGGAAGGAGAAAGGTGTTAAAAGAAGAGGCCCAGAAAACCAACATTTTACCCATGATCCATCTCTTAATCAGGGGCCTTCAGCCTGTGTATCTGGGTCACATGACAGCATCCCTGCACAATAAAGTCAGGTGTAGTTGCCTTCAGAATAAACTCATATTCACTGTGTTAGGGGCCTAATTATGTACTTTGGCTACTGTATGTGTAAAAACAGGTAGAGAGAGAGAATTCACTGTGTTAGGGGCCTAATTATCTACTTTGGCTACTGCATGTGTAAAAATAGACAGAGAGAGAGAGAGAGAGAAAGAGAGAAAGAGAGAGAGAATTCACAGTGTTATGGGCCTAATTATGGACTTTGGCTACTGTATGTGTAAAAACTGAGCGAGAGAGAGAGAGAGAGAGAGAGAGAGAGAGAGAGCGAGAGAGAGCGAGAGAGAGAGCGAGAGAGGAGAAAGGGGCCACCTTTGTGAACTCTGAAAGCTCCCAACAATGTCTCTACATTGGCTCTATGGGGAAGCATAAAAGAGGACCTTTTCTTAAAGTGTTACAACTTTTTAGGGACCGCATTATCTTCTGGATGCCCCTGCCAGTTTAGAGAAAAGAGGAAGTAAGAATGCCTCTATGAATAGCCCATATACTCAAGTGAAAAATCGAACATTCTCATTTCACTTTTTGCTCTGAGTGTAATAATAACTTCTAGAAGAGAGTGTGGGAAGATTGAAGCGTGAGTTAGGGCTCAGAGGTCATCTATTGATATGGTTTATGCATTCTGTCAGCCATGCATATATGGTTTATGCATTCTGTTAGCCATGCAACCCGTCTGTCTATAAACAAAACAGATTGCATGTTTTTCCGCATGCATTCATTGCTATCTGGTTTCCCCTTTAGATGTCTCAAATTACAGGCTTTACTATATGTTTACGTCTATCCCTCATCACATATACAGTCGTGGTCAAAAGTTTTGAGAATGACACAAATATTAATTTTCACAAAGTCTGCTGCCTCAGTTTTTATGATAGCAATTTGCATATACTCCAGAATGTTATGAAGAGTGATCAGATGAATTGCAATTAATTGCAAAGTCCCTCTTTGCCATGAAAATGAACTGAATCCCCCAAAAACATTTCCACTGCATTTCAGCCCTGCCACAAAAGGACCAGGTGACATCATGTCAGTGATTCTCTCGTTAACACAGGTGAGAGTGTTGACGAGGACAAGGCTGGAGATCACTCTGTCATGCTGATTGAGTCAGAATAACAGACTGGAAGCTTTAAAAGGAGGGTGGTGCTTGAAATCATTGTTCTTCCTCTGTTAACCATGGTTACCTGCAAAGAAACACATGCCGTCATAATTGCTTTGCTCAAAAAGGGCTTCACAGGCAAGGATATTGCTGCTAGTAAGATTGCACCTAAATCAACCATTTATCGGATCATCAAGCACTTCAAGGAGAGAGGTTCAATTGTTGTGAACAAGGTTTCAGGGCGCCCAAGAAAGTCCAGCAAGCGCCAGGACCGTCTCCTAAAGTTGATTCAGCTGCGGGATCGGGACTCCACCAGTGCAGAGCTTGCTCAGGAATGGCAGCAGGCAGGTGTGAGTGCAACTGCACGCACAGTGAGGCGAAGACTTTTGGAGGATGGCCTGGTGTCAAGAAGGGCAGCGACGAAGCCACTTCTCTCCAGGAAAAACATCAGGGACAGACTGATATTCTGCAAAAGGTACAGGGATTGGACTGCTGAGGACTGGGGTAAAGTCATTTTCTCTGATGAATCCCCTTTCTAATTGTTTGGGGCATCCAGAAAAAAGCTTGTCCGGAGAAGACAAGGTGAGCGCTACCATCAGTCCTGTGTCATGCCAACAGTAAAGCATCCTGAGACCATTCATGTGTGGGGTTGCTTCTCAGCCAAGGGAGTGGGCTCACTCACAATGTTGCCTAAGAACACAGCCATGAATAAAGAATGGTACCAACACATCCTCAGAGAGCAACTTCTCCCAACCATCCAACAACAGTTTGTTGACGACCAATGCCTTTTCCAGCATGATGGAGCACCTTGCCATAAGGCAAATGTGATAACTAAGTGGCTTGGGGAACAAAACATCGACATTTTGGGTCCATGGTCAGGAAACTCCCCAGACCTTAATCCCATTGAGAACTTGTGGTCAATCCTCAAGAGGTGGGTGGACAATCAAAAACCCACAAATTCTGACAAACTCCAAGCATTGATTATGCAAGAAAGGGCTGCCATCAGTCAGGATGTGGCCCAGAAGTTAATTGACAGCATGCCAGGGCGGATTGCAGAGGTCTTGAAAAAGAAGGGTCAACACTGCAAATATTGACTCTTTGCATAAACTTAATGTAATTGTCAATAAAAGCCTTTGACACTTATGGAATGCTTGTATTTATACTTTAGTATACCATAGTAACATCTGACAAAAATATCTAAAAACACTGAAGCAGCAAACTTTGTGAAGACCAATACTTGTGTCATTCTCAAAACGTTTGACCACGACTGTACAGCACAGCAATTCAGAATAATCTCTGAATCTGAACGATAACCCTCAAGTTACTCTGCTCCAGTTTCACCCGAAGATGATCTGTATCTCCTAGTATGAAACCATTCATAATCATAACACGCAACATTCGCTGGCTCTTTGCCATGGCACACCTGAAACTCCATGCAAGAGATAAAAAATACAATTGCCAAGAGGCACAAATGCTGTTCTACCTACTTTATTTGTGAATTAAGGGGGTGCATCAGAGCTGTAAATCTAGTGGCAAGGACTGTTCTAAAAGATCACAGGAGGTGATTATCATAGTTTCGGGACTAATGTCAACATGAAATAAGCAAGATATCTCTTAAAGTTACCATCTTTATATGCAAATTTATCTAGGCCTATTCAAAGTTCTTTCATATTAGGTATACTTTAGTCTGAAGTGAGCACTTTAATTGGGTCAAATAAACAATTCTTAAACATGGTTGGCTGCATTTGGCTGCAGCTTATCAAGCAGAAATGCTTTACACAGAGTATCTTCACAAACAACAGCATAATGTTATACAATTCTACAGGGATGGTTCCATAAAAAAAGGCAATAAAGAAGTAAGTCCGTAGAGAGAACAAGGAGAAGACAGCTTTTTAAAGCTCTACAGTACAAGCTAGATACGTGTGTTTGACTTTTATATGAACTCTCTGAAAGAGTTGAAAGAGTATTAACTGCTGAAAATCAAGTGAGCAGTTCAGTGTGTGTGTGTGTGTGTGTGTGTGTGTGTGTGTGTGTGTGTGTGTGTGTGGAGATCACTTTCACAGTTGGCCCCCAATGGGCAACAGAGCACACACAAATGCCCACATTTCAGTTTCCAGTAATGACGATCAACAGTATATTCACCAAGACTTTGAGAGACACAACAAGCCTGGCCTCCATATTCAATGTAAAGCCCCAACATCTCATACTGAGATCCTGTCTGAGTCAAATGTATAACATCGATCATACCAGGAAAGAGTTGATCTCAGTGGATTCCTAGACTTCACTGCAGCCAAAGGCCAATTACCATGTGTGGGAAAAGTGGGAATGTCATGGGATGAGTACACCATCTACTGGAGCTGTTTGGAAGCTCCTCAGTGGAAGACACTCATTCGGTGTATGGATGAACAACATGGACTAACATTGGCACTGGCTAAAGACAGGCCTGTGTAGAATGATACTGTGTGTGGAGTGAAAGAGTGGAGTCCTTTCCCAACAGACACATGGTGAATCACCTTTCCTGAGCACAGTACCATTATGCACTTGAGGACGGAAATAAACAACTCCATTTGTAAGGCACTTGATATATACAGCATGTTTATGTTAATTGATAAATATGTTAATGCCTCGGTTCATTTCGGAGAAACACTTAATGACATAAAAACATCCATACCAACATCAACTTCGTTATATATTTACGAGACAAAAACCATCTCCCCTCCCCAGCTCTATGTAGGCCTAGTGCATACCAAAATATATATTTCTCAAAGATACGCATCAGACCAATGGTGAATTATATGGAGTGACAGAGTACCAGAGAGGGTCCATCTGGACTGTTTTAGCCAGCATTCCTCCTGTGACAGTCAGTCCTATTGGAAAACATGAACACTTTCT